TTATGTAAACGATGTGAAGCTGGTGACACAAAAGAAAAAGAAGCTTCGCGTTTTATGAAAATGAAAATGTCAACACGATTAAATGTTGGTGCATAAACATCTCAGCGCTGTCATGCTGCTGCACCTGAAGCAGGTATGCATGTTCAAAACGTGAACTTTGATTGGCTACACGAGTCTGTTTGTTTTTAAATTTGAGGATGATGATTTTCTTGTTTGTGTTTTGTTTTTTTCTCTGCAGGAAGTAGGAAGCATCATCGGAAAGGTGAGCTAACGTCCCCTCTCTGCTCATCGTGTTGCCCAGTATGAAAAAATCTGATCTGCCAGGAAGTAAAAATCACTCAATCTGTGAAAAAGTCATTAAAATAAACTTTATTAAACATTAAAAATCCTCTAAAACCAACATCAACTTCAGGCTTTAGTTTTCTGACATTTGCACGCCTGTCGTGATAACATTGGGCGTAATCCTTCTACATGATATTGCCGTGAAATGTGCATTAACAGTGCGTAACGCTTCCAGTCAGGCCGTGTCATTCGAGTCTGTACTTCCTGAAAAGGCGCCGCTCTCAGGGGGAGCGAGTCCGTTTAAGCGTGGACGTGTTAAATAAAGCCCAGTAGGGTTTTTATCCAAGTATATCACAGCTGAGCGAGGCGCGATAATGACCGCCGGCCCCCGCGGCACATTCGCTAACCGCTGATACCCTTCACCCCCCCACCCACCCAGTCACTTCCAGTATGCGGCCTATTAACTGTGACACAAAGATGGCATTAAATTACACGATGGTTGCAGTTGGATCGTGCCAGTCTGTAGGAGCTGCTCTCCGGGGCTTCTGCTAGCATAAACAAGCCTGCCAGGCTGACTGGTTTGGGCAGGCTCGGCCAATGAGGTCGCAGCAGAGATAAATGTTACGCAGCGCAGATATGATCCGTGTTAGCCCCGTTTGTTTATCGCGCCGGTGTTTTTCCCGAGCGAATTAGCAAACGTGTGTCACACTCACAGCATCGCACTGTCATACCTGTTAGCCGCCGAGCTCACCGAGCAGCTCCACCAGTGAAGCTGCCCGGGGGCATCCCGCCGGCGGTTGATTAGTAGGCAGCGAGCGTCGCTGATTCGTTTTCCTCACCTGGATGTTTCAGTCACTCTTTCAGTAACAGCAGCTTATTCCTCACATGTGACTTTAAAAACACTGGGAAATGATCTTGTGTGTATTTGATCGTGTTTGTGTTCGAAACCTGCTCAGATACTTGTCTAATACATCTTCATTAAGGACTCTGTACACTCGGAGATGACTGTACTTCCTGTGTCTTTCCACAGAAAGGAGAAACGGTGAAGAGAATACGAGAAGAGGTAAGATTGACCTCATCTCCCATCACACATGTTCATTCTTCTGTCATCCTCCTCTGTCTCCCGTTAACCCACAGCAGCTCCTGCTAACTGCAGCCTGACTGTGAGAAATAAGGAGTCATGATTATATCCTGTCAGGGCTCCTTTCTGCTCAGACTTTACTGTAAATACAATAAAAAGGGGCTTTCATCTTCACCACAGCTGTGAGCATTTCTGGCGTCCTCCTGTGATGTTGCAGTTTGCACGTTTAGCTGCTCTTTGCTGTTGAAAGTCTTTAAAATGATAGCGAGTGTACAGGGGAGGAGTTCCCCTGGCATCTGACCTCTCTGACTTCCTGTCTGTCCGAGGAGACATCGAGCGTGAGGTAAGAGGGGAACCGAGACGAGGACGCTGGATCGCGCCAATAAGAATCTGTCGGCAGCATCTGCAAATCAGAAGCTCAGTGGTTCAAACTTCAGGAACAACAGCTTCCTGGTGCAATGCTGATGCAAGACTTTGTTCAATGTGTGAAACCAGTCAATGTCTCACTGTGTTT